TGTTCCCAGTTCATGTTTCCTTTGGTGGTCAGAGACTTCTGCCTGGCAAAGTGGCCGCACAGACTGGTTTGTTAAGCCGTGTCCAGACAGGCACGGCATTGCCTGAAAACTCTGGGAGGGATTGCCTGATAATGTCCTGCTACCTCTGATGCTTTGTTCATGATTGCCTGCAGAGGAATAAATGCAGGTTCTGGCATGAAAATTGTCCCTCTAAGTTGTTTCATCCTGCAGATAACAGGCCTGTCTTCCTGCACTTCATTGATTTAATTCCACCCAGTCATTCTCTGACTGTTTTTGTGAACTGCAGCTCAGTCTGTTCCCACCCATTTGATCTAATAGGCTGCGGTGAGGGTTTGGTACTTGAAAAACCTTTTGGCGGTGCTGATGACAGTGGCTAATCAATGATTCATAAACACTTTCTTCGAAGTAGTATTTAGTCTTCTCCCCAGGCAGAGTACAGTGCGTGGAACAAAGGGTGAGCGTGTAGGTGCGCCTTGCTTCTCACCTTCAGTCTGCCCGTGCGAGGTCTGCTCTGCCCTGGTGACTGTCGGTGGCCCATGAAGCGGGTAAGGCAGGTGGTGGCCCGCTGGGTCTGGGTGTCAGCCTCGGGACTGAAAAAATCCTTCCTTCTCCGGACACCTCTACGCTTCAGGATAGCATTTTTGAAGCTTATGTTCTGCTTTGCTTCAGAGTTTTGGTAAATTTCCCCACGCCCCCACCCAGATCCTGATTAGTGGATTGATTAGTGGATTAAATAAAGCGAGGGGCAGATCAGCAATGCTGCTAAACAGTTCCCTGTGGTTCTCTGGCAGTCTTTCGGTATGTCTTAACAGAGCATCTGATGTGCTGTTTACTTGTTCTCTGTTGTTCAGTTTGCTGTTGGTTGGTTTCTTACTTTTTTAAAAAAATACGCATCCAGGCATATTAATAAAAAAGGCTGCTCCTCAGTACAGGCTCTCAGTATGATATCAAGTATTTAAAGGTATTGCTTTCTCCCCATTTTCTCAGTCTAAAAATTTCATTGACTTAGTAAATTCATGCAAAACAAAAAAAAAAGTGTGGTATAAATCTGTTCCTCGAAGACATCTTAGGAGCTCATGAAAATCAGTTGTCTGGTCCTAGTGCTGTAATGGGAAATTTTACAAAAAGCTGAAGCTATTCAGAAGGACCTGAAAAGTGTACTTATGTAAAATCATGGCTTCTGTCAGAACCTGAAATAAATAATAAATGCCACGCAGCAGGTAGAAGCAGCCTCTGAATTACAGATGCCCTGGGTAGAATGGGTACAGAGACAAGGCAGCAGATGGACCTGAAGATAATTGAAAATAACCGGACCTGAAGATAATTGAAAATAACCGCCTTTGCTTAGAGTTAAATTCTCAGTGAATCAAGCTGATTTACCTGTGAGGCAGGAAGGGGCAGGTAACCACTGGTAGCTGGCATAGGTCGCTGGACGCTTTCTGAGGAGGATACTATACAGCAGTTATTGTCAGCCTTTTTTAATTTAGACACCCCTTCAGAGCAAACTTGGCTCACATCTGCTGCTCCTTCATGGTTGTTAGGAGCTGACTGGTCTAATGGACTGAAAGAACTGAGGAACAGATTAGAGATGAGACAGTCCTGTGCATCTCATGCGAATGACAGAATAAGGAATGGGCTGTATTTCTTCTTGGTTTAAGCTTCGGAGACTTGAAGAAGAGCAACCAGGTTCAGTAAGGCTGAGGTACTCTGTTCTAACACTTTCAGGATATGGTTCTGTATAAAATCCGTCATCTATTTGGGTAACAGCTTCAGTTGTTACTACTGAATAGAATGAGGTTCCAGAAATAATGATAATATACGTACTAATATTTGTTTTATGAAAGAGGGATGCTTACAAGTATTATTCCCAGGAAGTTTGCTCTGGGTGGTTCTGTACAGAGAATCAAAACAAATCATAAGCATGTGAACAAAATCTCTGTGAAAACAGCTTCCACAATACACGCGATTCCTGCTTAAAAAAATATGGAGCAAACAAGTTCCATTAACTTAAATTTAGGGTGACTCTTCGTTCCTAGTTTTCATTTACGGAAAGTACTAATGAAGTATTGAAGATTGCCATAAATAAGTGCAAGTTTTATTTGGGGAAAAAAAAGTCACTTATGAGAGACAGATGAATTGTGTATGTGCTTGCACTTCAATGTCTCAATGATCCGTGTCTTCCAGGAGATCTAATCAGTATTTTTCTTTTTCATCTTCTTACAGTAGATCTGTTAAGGGATCTCTACTATAGTGCATCTGCTTAATGATCCTTAAGGATCCCTTAAGGGATCTCTGCTATATTGCATCTGCTTTCTTATCTGATAAAAACTGAGAATTAGTTTTGTTTTCAGGTTTTTATACATTCATGACTCAGGTGATTCCCATGTCAGCATGCTTTAATGTGGAAGGGCTAATTCAGTACCAGAAAGGCAGGAGGGAAAGCATCCACTGAGGATCATAGCGATTCACAGAGAATTCTTCTTCCTGTAGGAATAATAAAACTTGTTCACATTGTGACTGAATTGCATATGGTTTTGCAGTGTCTGCTTACCAATGATTACATAAAACCTTGTTTCTAAGTGTATTGCCCAGCCCTGAAGGAAGAGTTCCAACATGAGTGATGCACAATCACATCTTTTGAGTAAGACAGTTAATGCTGTTCTTTCACAAGTAAAAAGACCTAAAAGGTCGTCCTGTCCCACTCGGTAAGGGGAAGTGATCTTACAAGTAAAAAGCCCTAAAAGGTCGTCCTGTCCCAGTCGGTGAGTAAGGGGAGGTGATCTTTTTCCATTCTCTGCACAGTAACCAGGAGTCATGACAGTGACCCAAGAGGCTCAGCTACAAAGCTTTATGTGGAATTCAGCGGAATTACAAAAGATGGTAACTTTGCGACTTTATAACGACATTGCTTTGAATGCACTGGGATTAGAATGGATATTGACTTGGCAAAACTTAAAACAAACTGCAAAATATAGCGGATGGACGAACTTACAAGAACATTGCCCTTATGTGCCTAGGAAGTCAGAGAGAGAAAGAGAGGAAAACAAAAAGAAAGATAAGAGATATCAGCACCCATGGATCCAGTGGCAAATTCTGGTGATTGGGGTCCTCCGGTGGTGGGTGCATACACCTGCTTGCAATTGCATCAGGTATTTATACACACAAGTTACAAGAAGCTCCCCCTAACTAATACAGTTATTCCACCTATCTAATGCATATTCATTATGTTGCACAAGTAGGGTCGTCTGCGCCTGCCCAGGGATTGTGCCGAGCCAGCAAAGTCATCTGCACCTGCACAGGGGTCTCGGAGGGTCTCTGGTGGTTGGTTGGGGAGGAAGACCCCTCACTCATTTTGTCATTTGATGGTCATGTGACATCTGAGGACACCAGAGTCCTTGTTGCTCTTGCCAACTCCTTGTTTCACAGTCTCACAGCAGATGTATGTCCTTGGTCGAGCAAGTTTGTAACCATGAGATGTTCCTTGCCGTGGAACACTGGCTGCTATTCAACAACAGTTCAGAGATTGTCTTCAATACATAGTTTCTCCTTGGAGGAGGGATGTTGTTGTGCTTAGTTGGTGTGTTGGGGTGGGGGGGGTGTCTTGGTGGTCTCATGCTCCACCCCTGCCTACGTGACACCTTGGGAGAGAGGTGGGTTTTGTGAGCTGGCACCCTGCTTCTGCAGGCTTCCACTTGTCTGCCCTGGTCCCTCACCAAAATGAGGGATTTTCCAAAGCACAATGCCTGATTCAGGAGTTTGCTTAATTCAAGTGTTTCTGTTTCTCCGGGGGGATGTTTGAGACAGTTGTTCACTTTGATCTGGGGCTCTACGAAGGTGAAGCACTCGCATGTTGCATGGAAGCACTCACATGTTGCAGGAAGACTGTACTCTTCTGATGTTGCTTTAGTGTTAGCAGGATATGTGTAAAGAAATTTTCTGTACTAGGAGAAAATGTTTTGTGGGAGAAACAATTGTCTCTCATCTGGTTTGATCAGGGTTCATTTAATTCCTTTTTAGCAGCTTAATGGAGCTGCTTAAGTGAGAAGCTGTGCTTCTGGCAGGAACCTGTCTAAAGATGAGAACAAACCCTACTTAAAGGCGAGTCAGCCCGGTAACCCAGAGCTACCCTCTGACATGCCCACCTTCTTTCACTAGCTGTGTACAAAGGCTAGTGCAGGTGGGCTGACTCATTACCTGTCTGTAGCTGGATGTGGTGAACCTGGGCATGTGGCTCAGTGTCTGATGGGCAGGAAAAATTGTAGTGCTCTGTCAGGTGATAATCTGTAACAGGATCGCTTTATTTGCTGTTAGAAAGTTCTTCAGAGTTGGTGGGCTGCCCTAAACTGTTTTTCAGCTTTGTACTTTGGTAGGGAATGAGCATGTGGTTGTGGCAATTCTAGTTCTTCGGTTGAATCTGTTGGTATTAAAGATACAAGGCAACCATGAAAGATCTGTGAAGGAAATGCTGCTTTAAATGCAAGTTTAATTTCTTACCCTTCTTTGAGAAATCCCAGGATCGTTTGAACCTGTTCTACTCCCAGGTGGCTGGGTGCTCTTTCAGGCCTGAATTATGCCAGTGTGGACAATTAGCGCATTGGTACTAATAACCAAGTGCTTACAAGGCCCTAGTTACTCTCCAAATCAAAGGAGAAGATCCTGAAGAAAGTTATAACATGACTGGGGTGATCAAGGTGGTAATTTGCAAAGGTGATGTTGAAATAATGTCATTAGTGGTATTGTATGATGCATAGGCACTCACTGTATAAAGTACTGCGTGAGGATTCAGCCTGCAGATTCTGGGTACAAGTGGTCATTAATGTGTGACACCTGGCTTGCCCAAATACCAAAGCCATTGTCTTTTAAAGTCTAGTTTTCAGGTGCATTGTTTAGTAAACACAGTAATACGGATATCAAAATATGGATTTTTTTTTCTTCCACACTTAAAAAGGATGAACAAAATATATGAATTACTTTTTTTAGGAGAATTACTGAAGTTTGGATTGCTATCTTGATACTATAAACCTGCAATAAGTGGCAATGTCAAGGGTTCCCACCCCACCTCCTCCTGGGGAGATGTCCAGTGGACCTGTGGCTGAAAGCTGGTGTTACACACAGGTAATCTGCATAAATTTCAGTGGCTTTATTTTTTAGTCATAATAATTTAAAATAAAAAAAAACTCTACAAATATTGAGTTGTGCTAGCAGTCTAGCTAGTTCTTATAGCTAATGCTTGATATGTAAGTTAAATTTTAATGACATTTTCTACATCTTTTGTGCAGGTTAAAGTAGTAAAATTTTCCTACATGTGGACCATTAATAACTTCAGTTTTTGCCGAGAAGAAATGGGTGAAGTTTTAAAGAGTTCTACTTTTTCATCAGGGCCAAATGACAAAATGAAGTGGTAAGGTCTTTATTCTAGCAACTGCTTTGTTTTTTGGTTTGTTTTTTCTTTTCCACTCGCAAAAGTTGCAAAGTTAAATTGCAAATAACTATTAAATCTCGGACACTTATTAAAGTTTTACTATAGGTATGGATTGGTTCTAATTTCAACGTTTCAACAGTTCTAATTTCAGTGTTTCAAGGGAAACATTTATTTCAGTAGCATGTGTCATAGTATCTTATAAAAATATTCTTGAATGTATTCTGGGTATGATTTGAAAATGTGCAATTTCTGCATTTCTTTCAGGTGCCTGAGAGTGAATCCAAAAGGATTAGATGATGAAAGCAAAGACTACCTTTCATTATATTTGCTTTTAGTCAGTTGTCCAAAAAGTGAGGTCAGAGCGAAATTCAAATTTTCCCTGCTGAATGCTAAAAGAGAAGAAACAAAAGCAATGGGTAAGGGAGTCTTGGTGTACTGCATGTTGATTTGTAAGAACATCCCAAAGAAAATGGGCATTGTAATTTTTTTGTTGAGAATAGAATTTAATATTGAGATAAATTTTACAGTATCTTCTTTAAAATATCTTTTTTAATATTCTTTTAGAAACTAATTAAAAATCTTGTTCATGTTTCACACACTTGTGATCACTGAGCTATGTTAACTCTGTCCCGAGCAGTATAAATTACAGCACATTACTAACTGCTCTCACTCCAGATTCTTGTCACTTAGCTTTCCTAGCACATCTTCCTTGCTTCCCGTTAGCAGGGGTGTATTTGCTTGTTTCTAGCTACAGTGGAAGTGTTTGATTTCCATAGTTAATTAGGGTAAACACACATGGTTGGGTTTTTTTTTTTGGCACTCCTTTACAGTGTTTTGGTCTATTTCGTCTGATTTACACTGTAATCAGGTTAAAAACATGAACCATGTACCCAAGGAATGAGAAGACTTTGAAATAATTGGTGATTTGATTGCCTTCTTGATATGAAAAACGTATGACTCGGTTTTAAACTTAGAAGCACAACCTTCACTGGAAATACTTTTTGGGAAAGCTGGAATTCTCATGAAACTGTAATTCAATGCTGGTCTGCACTGAGTTTGTGCTGTTGCTAGTCCTGTATATGAAGAATCTGTCTACTTTTCATTCCCCCTCCTACTCCAGGACTTAAGAGATCTTGCAGGGTCTGTTCTGTTGCGAGTTCTGAATTTCTTGGAAAAAATCTCTAGTTCTCCAGTGCTCTTACTCAAAGTTCATGCTGCTTTCTCCTTGTGTAACTAGGCCCGCTTGTAATCTTTAAAGTAAATCCACAAAACTGACTTCAAATCTAAATGTTAAATGGTTGGACTTTTTGCAAGGAAAGTAAATGTGTATGTTTCACTCTGTTTATCCTTCTCCGCTGATGGAGTTGGTTGCTTCAATCCCTGCAAGCCTCCTGGTTCTGGAGCTTATATGAACAAGGCTACGCTTTTATACCTTTGGTGGATCTTGGCTTTTGGCTTGAGACAGTCTTCCGGTCCGGCAGAGGATTCGTGTATGTAATTAAATAAAACTGCACTGTGTGCATCAAAAATTATTTTGAGATAATCATAAAGTCACAGAATTGCTGAGGTTGCAAGGGACCTCTGGAGCTTGTCTAGTCCAAACCCTCTGCCAAGAGCAGGGTCAGCTTGCACAGTTTGCTTGAGACCTATCATGCTTTGAATATCTCCAAGGATGGAGACTCCACAGCTTATCCAGGCAACCTGTTCTAGTGTTTAACTGGATGCTGCTGGTCCTTTTTTGCCTTAGGGGTTCATTGCTGGCTCTGGTTCACACCAGGACCCCAGTTGCTGGTCACTTATTTCTTCCCAATCGGTAGGTCTGTAGCAGACACTGAGCACAACGCTGCTCACATTTGCCTGTCCTCTAATCCTGACCCATAAACTCTGAGCTGGCTCATCATCCATCACAAGACAGAGTTCCGTGTGTCCCGGCGGCTCTTATGGAAAGGGCAGCTCCCCTGCCTCGCCTTCCTGGCCTGGCATCCCTCAAGAGCCTGTACCCGTCCACCGCAGCACTCTGGTCGCAAGAGGTGTCCCACCACGTCTGCTTGAGGCCAGGGAGACTGTAGACCTGCAACCGTGCCCGGAACTCCTACTTCCTTCTCTTTCTTTGCCATGCTGTGTGCATGACTTCATGGGCACTTCAGAAAGGCACTCAGTTGTGCTCATTTCCCAGAAAATGTATCAGAGCTTTCTTCGTAATGCTGTCCTAAGTAAGGAACATGCAGTGTAGGACGGAAGGATTTTGAGAATCTGAAGATTATGTGCCAAGTGGTACTTTAAATGCTAAAAATCACAAGGTGCTAAAACCCAAGAAATCGATGAGTAGATGTGTCTTCAGTTTTTGCAATAGTAGCTATTCTGTATTTGGCACTACAAGAATTATGAACATCTTTCAATTTTGGAAAATGACCAACAAAAATCTTACTTCTTGGACTTTCCAGCCATTTACCATCTGCTTCTGGAGATGCTCTGTTTTTATTATATGATATTATATTATATTTTACATATGATATTATGAGGCCTGACTGTAGATGTCTTTTGTAAATTGATAATTCATGCATAGACTGCTGCTTCAAGTGATGAAGCTGGGTATAAATAGGTAATGAATTAACATTTTAACTTTATTAGAAAGAAGAAAAATACTTTTATGCTGCTTTATTTTTGTAGTTTTATATACTTCAATTGCTACTGTTCGTTCAGTTTCTGAGGGTTAATAGTGATTCTGATAACAGTAAAAGCTACTGAGTTAACTGTAGTGTAGAGAAGTCACTTTCCTGACATCTTTATTTTGATTGTTGTAGAAGAATGCTGTCTATATGTATAATTACCAAACCTGATTGATTAAAAAAAAACAACCAAACTCTCATAGCTATGGCTAAAAGTTTGTGACTTAAAAGCTTTTATTTCTGTTTTGCTTTTTTAATGCTTTTAGTGTATTTCAAAATAATTTCAACCTGTGAAACAAGATTTTTTCATTTCAGGAAGAAGTCAAAACAGATTGTTATGAGAACTGTATAAGTGTTGTCAGAAGGCATTTATGATGACTAATTCAATGTAATGGTACTTCCCTGTGAACAGTTTCTGTTTTGACACATTGGCGTTCTTAAACATTAGCTGGAAAAACTCCTCTCTTGCTGGATGGTGCCTAAAATAACGTCTAAGAAGATGACATGGTTTGAACTGCAAATTGTGCTCTACTAAGTTCTATGAAGTGTTTGAAATAACACCAACATAAAAAAAAAATTTTAATCAGTTGTAGGTTTCCTAAAAATGTGACATATGATCCAAATGTGTTGAATTGATTCATTTTTGGATTAACACTTAGCCTTAATATAGAATTTTTAGGTGATATGATTTGTTAATATTTTTATTTAACTTGCTTTATTTGTACCTAACTTTTTTATCAGAAAGCCAAAGAGCATATCGATTTGTGCAAGGCAAGGACTGGGGTTTTAAGAAATTTATCCGAAGAGATTTTTTACTGGATGAAGCTAATGGTCTTCTACCAGATGACAAGCTTACATTATTTTGTGAAGTGAGTATAGTTTTTTAAGTGGTAAGCTTTTAAATATTTTCTGCTCTAGTAAACAGATGTTTATGTTGATTTAAACAGTAATATGCTATAAAAATTGTCTTCAGTAAACCATATATGTGGTAAGATACACGGTTACTTGCTTTGTCTGCATTGTAATTTTTTTGGTACACGTATGTTGAAGTGTAGAATAAGTCTGAATTGATCACCTGTAAACTGTTGGTCGTTTCCATGAATCTGCCAGGATGACATTAGAATTGACTATAGAATCGTTTATGCAAAAGGTGGCTGATACGTGCTGTCTGTAGTAGTAGTATTTTACTGAGGTCACTTTCATTTAAAGAAGCTGTATTTAGAATTACAGGATTGTTTTTCAGTGGATAAGCAAAAGGAAATGTCTGCATGCTAGTTCGCATTATAAAAATAAAAAAATTGTCAGAATCTATATTCCTGTAATATCATAAATGTCTTTAATCAATGAACACGCCTTTCAAGTAAATGAAAAACTGTGTTTTTATAGTAATGGTTACTTTTTTTCCTGAACAAGTACTAGTATCCTGTAGAAGGACTACTTAATACTAAGAATTAATATTGAGAGCTGTGGTGTAAGTTTAACTTCATGGTGTATTATGGGTCACTTTTATAATATCAGTTATATTGGTAACCTAAACCGTCATATTGAAATTTAGTAAAACATTTAGTGTTAAAAATGGAAACTGGAGCAAGTTGCAGTGTAAGTATAGTGTGTGTTAAGTATACATTGGCCAGTTATCTTTGCTGCCATAAAGTGATTAGTGGCTTAGGAGGATGATAGACACTCTAACTGCTAATAAGTTTGCTTTGATCTGTGTATTTACAGGAAATGTGTAAAATTGTCTTGGCAAGATTACAATTTAATTATATGTCCTTATGCTCTGTAGGAAGAATAATTGAAACGTGGCCCCTGAGACTAGATATTGCAAATATAGTGCATCTTATTTTCACTTAGACAAGTTAAATTAGCTGCATGATAAATTTGTTATGAATACAATTATTTGGGTGATAAAAGCAGATGTAACAAGTGTTTTAGGCTTCTGTAAAGATACTTTTGAATATTTTTTCATTTTAAGTTTTCTTGACAATGAATACTTCATGTAAATGAACAGCTCTTTAAAATTAGGTAGTGACCTATTTTTAAGATAGTTTGTTTAAAAAATAAATTGAATAAATACTGAATTTTCCAGAGAGAAATATTGTTATTTAAATCTTGATGCTAATCCTTAAATATAACTGTTTCCCCTGCAAAACTTCATGATGTTTTAATGTGAGTGGCTTTTGTGTAGTGTTTGACCTATCCTGATTATAAATGCTGAAGGAAGCACAACATTGAGTTGTGCACAGTTAGCATGCTAAAATAACTTCTGGCTTGTCTCAGGCTAAAGCAAAAAAAATGGAAATTCAAATATTTTTAAACTTGTTTATTCAGATGTGCCTTTCAGGCTCTTCAGCTGACATTAGAAATTGTTTGTGTTGTTTGAAGGACCTGTTCCTGTAGACATGTCTGAAGGTTTTGTGCTTTTAAAACTTAACTGTAAGTTCTAATTTCTGTGTTAGCCTTCCTACTTGTATCCTAATTCAAAAACTGACTTATCCATTGCTTAAAACTATTTGGCACTAGGCTTGATAAAACTTACCAGTTATAGCAGGTATTTAGTAAAGGTCATTGAGTATCAGCTGTGCTGGCTAGCTGTTCTTTTCTCCTTGTTGGGTTGTGGAAGGATTGTTTGGTCTTCCTTGGCAGCAGAGATACTCCTCCTGCGTTCCTGAATGTTCTTAAGATCAGTTGGATGTGTCCTTGAATTGGAAACTGAAGGGCTGTGAAATTTAATACTTTGCAAAGTCTGGTGTTGCCCCCTACAAGTGGGCTATTGATTAAATACAACTTTGTAATTTTATTTTTTTTTGAGCAAACTGGTCTCTGTTTCACTCAGTTCTCACTTTCCATATAATCTGGAATTACTTAAGACTTGCAAGTATTTTGATTTGCTAACAGAATAGGAAGTTCTCTGCAGGGATGTTTTTCCTAGTGAGTTCTTTCACGGGTCTCTTACCTAGCTTAGGTTGAGAGAGAGTAGTCTAGGGTTTCACTTACATCATCTTTACTATTAAATCATGACCGATTCAAAATCAAGAAAATTATACACATTATCCATGGTAACTGTCACCACACAGAGAACTTGTTCAAGTCCTGGTTAATACATATTTATATACCCTTACACATGAGGGTATGCAATGCAGGCAGGACCCATGCCCCTGCAAGAAGTACAGTCAGTCAGACCTTGTGCAGTACCTGGAAGTCCTGGCTAGATTGCTACTACTCTTTCAGATAGGTTGTTTGCTGTTAGTTCTAGCATCTCGTTGTCGTCCTGCAGTTTAGTGAAGAAATACCTTCACTCTTGCGAGTTATTTTTGTAAACGCAACTGCAAGGTGCCTCAAGTAAGTGTTTGGTAGCAGGTGTTGAGACAATCATAGACCAGGCACTTTTGAAAACTCGTCTTGGGCTAATAGTTATGTGGGATTGACTTGATTGGATTTCAGCTTGATTAAAAAAAACAAAGAGAATGCATTTGATTTTAAGCATACCGTCTGGACAAGTGAGATATTTCATATCAGACCCCTGTAAGTGTTTGTATTTCGGGTCTTTAAAAGTTCTTATGATCTATAGACAATACATGCCAGGCCATTCAGATGTGGAAGACTTGAATTAAAATTTTGCTTGAGTTATATCTTAAAAGGAGGAGTTGTGGCAAATTGTGTTGCGCAACTGTCAATATTGGAAACTGTTCTGAAATAGTGGGAGCTTGGAACATCAGTTTAAGTACACATGCAGAACGTGTAGGTGACCTTCCTGGGGACATGCTATAGCTAACAAGAGGATGCTGCACGGACAGCTCGGATTGTGAACTATGAATGAAGTCTCTGGAGAAGCAGAACTCTCCTTTGGCAATGCAAGACGCGCTTTGCTAAGCTACAACTCTGTCTGTGTGTATGTATATCTCCTGAAATCACTCTGTGTGTATGAAAACTGTGAAATGGAGTGCACAGTAGCTCTATACATTTTTTTCAGTATTATAAATGTATAGTCTTACTGTGAAAGTGAAATTTCGCAGTGCTTTGGGGTATTTTGTTTTCCTTTAAAAGGTGGAAAAATATGAAGGAATTGCTTATAAACTCAGAGGGTATGGGATGCAACAGGGAATTGGGCTATGATTCAAATCCCCAAGCAGCTGTCTTAATTGGATCATCCTCCTCGTCTGATCTGGAGTTTGGTTTGCAGTGCTCCAACTTTCTGTGAAGCTTAGCTGTGCTATTTTTGCTTTATGCCAGATTTATTCCAGATGCTGTGCCTGTGGAATCAAGCAAAGCACTGATCTCAACAGTATCAGCATTTTTGTCTTAATATTTAATCATAATTTTATGTATTTGGGAGATGCAGTGATGAAGATTTTGTAGTATGGCTCTTCTTTATGAGGGTTTTATTCTCAGGCGTGTGCTCTCAGACAATAGAAGTAAAACCTGCTGAGCTCTGCTCTTTTCCCGACATACTGATTAAAAGGACTTACTATGTAAAGATGTCTGAAAAAAGGCAAGTAAGAATGCTGCTGTTCTGTTTTCTACTTTTGTAAAAGATTTAAACGTGGGGAATAATGGCAATATATTCATTTCAGATGCACATATTTCAGTTTTCTTAACTATTCTGTACAAAAATTACATCCTGGGAGGATGCATTTCATTTTTGCAGTTACTTATCTGCTACATCTTCTGTTTCATTGAGTTACATTTCTAAAATAATGGCTTTTAATCTTGTTTCAAAGACGATCACTCGTGATTCCTGCTTCAGTTGGACACAGTAAAATGAAATAATGAAGGAGCTGTTGCTTGCACTTAGTTTGCATTATCACATTGCAGGTTAAATATGAACTTACTGTAATCAAAATTAGGACTCATACTATTCAACATTTGTATGGATTATTCTTATGCAACTTTTCTGTGACCTTGTGATCCTGATGATCTGTTTAGAATTTTATGTTGTATATATTTTACTTAAATGTGTGAAGAGTGTTAAACTGTTAATTTATCTCTGAAATAGCGTTAGCTTTTTTTGATCGCACTGGTACACCAAGAACCATATCTGTCCTTGACTCATTTACTTTAACATTTTTCAGGTGCCATGTGGTATTGTGCTCTGTCTTTTTGTTGGCTTGGATAAATACACAATATTAGAGTCTCTAAGTAAAGCCGTATTTGTTTTATGTTACTTAAACCAATGCTTTACAATTTACTTTTATGGTTCTGGCCTAATGCCAGAAACATTTTTGTTTGGTTTTTGGTTGTTTGTTTGCTTTAGAATTGCTGAAGTTCTAGCAATAGGTACTGTCATTTAATTATTATTGGCATTCAGTTATGAAGGTGTTGTCTTGCTGTGATTTTCTGTTAGGTAAGCGTGGTCCAAGACTCAGTAAATATATCAGGACAGTCTAATACAAATACTTTGAAGGTACCTGAATGTCGACTAGCAGAAGATTTAGGGAATCTCTGGGAAACAACAAGATTTACAGATTGCAGTTTTTATGTAGGAGGACAAGAATTCAAAGCTCATAAATCTGTCCTTGCAGGTACTTTCTACTTTTGTATTGCTATTCTTTTTGTAATTAAAATTGCTACAAGTTTAAAAACTGATTATATTTAATATTTACTTTTCTTGATACAGCACGATCTCCAGTTTTTAATGCAATGTTTGAACATGAAATGGAGGAAAGCAAAAAGGTAAGCCTTACTGAAAAATTTACGTGTAAATATGGGTACCTTGTGAAAAAGGGGTAAGTTGCAGAAAACTCGAAGTGTTGCAAATTGAGGAAAAGGAGTACTGTGTGATGATGCATGAGTGGAGGAGGTACTACTGAATGCTTTCCTGGTGAGTTCTGTGGGAGCTTCTTTGTGTAGAAAGAGCAGATAAGGCTGAATGTGGAGAGGTTCTGGCTCTTTAAAGTACTTGTATGAGCCCTAGATCAGTTTTGTTTTGGGTTTGGTTTTTTCACATTAGCTACTGATGTAACTGACCTAGTAATCTCTGCCTTGTTTTGCTTTAGTTTATACCTTCATGTAAGCTGATTGAGTTAACTAAGGTTTTGCTGTAGTGTATTAAAACACTTTATATGGTAGCCAGGACAGGAAGAAACAACAGGTGAATTACGACTCGAATTAAGCCCTGAGGCAGCGAAGCACTCCATTCACAGTTTCTGCAGCCACTTGACCTGCAGAAGTGTTTTGGATGGATAGTTACTTAATCAGCACAGAGAGCTGCCTCTGCTTTTATGCACTTGAAATCTCCCACAGCGAGGAGTTGTTCGTGTCTTTCATGAAGAGAAATGTCTAAAATGAGTTGGTTAGAGGCAGAATCCCTGAAAAGGCAAGGAGCTGATCATCTCGCTAAAGGGTTGTGATAGGTGATCATCACTTAGTCTTGGAGGCTGCAGTGATGCCACTTGTGTGAACAAACACATCCGATGAAGATGCCGCTGTAGTACAACTGAGTTTCATGAACATGGCATTTTGCTTCCCTGCACTTCTCAACTCTGGAAACTTTGACAGGTAGAATTGGAATATTGGAAGCATTTTATTGGGATTTCTGGACTGAAAGGAACCCAGACATGTCCCAGCTTCAGTGATGTGCCATACTGGGGACCTTTGCCTTCACATTAGCAGTGTATCTCCAGTGCAGCCCTACTTCTAAGTACTGTGTGTGAGTCGGTGGACAGTAAACATGTACATGAACATGTACATCTCGTGTGCTGATAACCTGTGATTGTTGTACCCCATTCAAAAGTCTGGTGCTTGCTTCTACGTCTTTGATATAGTTGCCTGCTTTGTTAGTTGCTTGTAGGGGATAGTATTAGAGGATGTAGTCAAGCATGCAATACCACAGACTTATTAGGAAGGCCTTTAACTACATGATGTCAGTTATATTTGCTTCGTTTGCTTTCTGAATTCTGAGAACAGAACATAGGCTGTGTTGACTCAATTTAACTCAATCCCAAAGTGGCTCACTCCATTCTGTCTGTGGCTCTGACTTCTAATATTCCAAGCACATCATTGTAGGGCTGGAAACTCAGCAGCACTTGTAAGTATTCCTGAAAATGTGCCTTTATTTTTATGTACAGCCTGTGCAATAGAGTCTAGAGTTAGACATTTCTAGAAAAAAGTTGCAATTACTTTTTATTACCGAAGCTTTTCCAACTGATTTCTACCTGACTTTAAGAGCTACCAGTTTTGATTATGTTCTGCTTAATACCGTGGAATGTTAACTGAAATTTGTAAGGATTTTGTACGATGGATAACAAATGAAAACTTGTAGCGTACATGAAGATGATATTTCATATATTCACTTTAAAGTTGTAGCTGAATTCCAGAGGTTTTTACTGATTCTTCTTCTTTACCAGAATCGTGTAGAAATAAATGATGTAGACCCTGAAGTTTTTAAAGAAATGATGAGATTCATTTACACGGGAAAAGCACCGAACCTTGAAAAAATGGCCGACAATTTGTTGGCAGCTGCAGACAAAGTAAGTAATTGACTCCTGAGCTCTCAAACCTCATGCTTCTGGAAGGTTCTTCAAAAAAAAAAAAAATCTTTTTTTTAAATTGATACATGTTTTGATTTTATTTTATAAATATGAGAAACGGATCTCATCAGAAATGGAGAAAGATGGGAAAGAATAGACTTTTTTTTTAGCAGTAGAAGGCTGATAAATCTTTCTTGACCAGAAGTGTTTTAGATATTAATTAAACTTACTATCCGAATTTTTTTATAAATTGGGGACCATTAATATGATTTGGAAAATTGGCCTTAAATAAAATGTATCCTAGATCTTTGTATTCTTGAAGAGGATTTATACAAGTGTTTGACTTGGCTGTGCTCTCTGGAGTAGTGTTACTTCAGAACTTTAATTTTTTTGTCTTCCCTACAAACATAGTAGTTCTAATCATTCATCTCTTCTGTATTGGGACCTTACAGTCTTTTTAAATTGTTGCTGTGGAAAATACTTTTTCTACTATGATTTTGGAGATGAGTGGACTTAGCACAGCAATTAAGGTGAGATTATTCCTCTTCGTATCATAACTTAGTTTTCTAACTTTTTAAGAACTTGACCCAATACCTTCTTTTTTCTTCACTGCTTTGCAGCTGGAGTTGAAATTTTAGTTAGCTATCTTCAGAGGACACACAGTTTTCTTTCACTGAGGAGGCATAAGTAGTTCAGAATCCAGAAAATACTCGCTTTTGTGTAATCTGAAACTTTTTGACTCTCAGCTGAGAGTGTGGCAGTTCCCTAAAGTACCTTTGCAATTTCTGAATTGGTTGTGCGGTCATATCCATGAAACATTAGTGGTGAAGACTTGTCTGTTCTCATAATCCTAATATAAGTCATTCAAGTTAAGAAAAGTCATCCCAGTAGCTAATTTCAAGAAACAATTATAATTTTTTTTTTTTTTCTGGCAAATTTGTTCTAATTCTTCAAGATCTCTTGACCTGGCACTGCCCTGGCTTTGGTGACCTACAGCTCTTATTCTTTTCATCTCTTGTTGCCAGCATGTCATCTTCCGAAACTGATTGTGTTTTGTCAAGTTTCAGTACACCCAAGCGGGATGGTGCAATGCTGGCTTTTGTTTAGAGCATAATTGGTAAATGTAGAGAGTATTATAAGGTCCAGTTGTATGATTGTCTGCAATAACAAGAAATAAAAATGGTGAGGTAGGACGTCCCTATAGCTTTTTGTAACAGTTAAAAACTGCTAGAAACTTTCTGCTATGTTTTCTGAATGTGAAATAATCTAAAAATGAGTGTTCTGCACGTTATCAAAGACATTACACTGCTGTATTACCTGGTAGGTACAGATTTGTTATAATCGATATTTATTTACTGTAAACAGAGGTATCCTGAGGAGTAGTATAGTAATAAAATGGAAGTAAAAATGCATAGGTCTAGAAATACAGAAGTTAGCCCAGTAATTTGGCTTTGCTTCAGTGGCATTTCTTCCTTTCATAGAACAGTTGCTAATACGAACGTATGAGTGGCAACTTGAATATATGCCACTTATGTCTAAAATTCTTTTCAGACTTAAACTGTATCTGAAGGGTACTAAACTAAGCGGCATGGTTAAGATCTCAGTAGAAGTGTATACAGCTGAATTAAACCTGTTTCAGACTGTGGCATCCTTCAAAATAGCAGCACTGTTTATTCATGCGAAGTATAATGTGGGAATGTAATTATTTTACATCAATTTTCTGGTAGACTGTGTCAAAGGTATGGAAGAAATTAAGAAATTCAGAGTTGGGGATGGGAGTAAACTTGGAACAAGCAAGTTTGAAACAGGCTAATGTATTTTCCCCTGGACAGTTTCATTAAACTTTCCATTGTATAATTTCTTGCCCCTCACTTTGGGATATAAACCCGTCTGCTGATGATTTTGATAAAGAGCCCATGTCTGTTCCTTGCTCTTCCTCCCTTAACCAAACTGAAGGAAAATGAAAACTTCTAAATGAGTTATTTTATTAAAAGTTCTCCCGGTAAAGCATTTGATCAGTTTGTGTCAAACCCAATGCATGTCTTGCCATTTGAGGACTTCGGTGCAGCATAATGAATTTTGAATTACCTGTTTGGAAGCGGTTTGATCTTAAGCTTGGGAGGCACCAAGCATTTTCGTGACTGGAACTGGCTTAAAAACTGTAGAGATAGCGGTAGAAGGAATGAGTTTGAAGAATGATCAGTGTAGTTTTTTTCTCCTGTCAGTATGCACTGGAACGGCTGAAGGTCATGTGTGAAGAAGCACTCTGTAGTAACCTCTCGGTAGAAAATGTTGCTGACATTCTTATCCTCGCAGATTTGCACAGCGCTGAACAGTTAAAAGCACAAGCAATAGACTTTATTAACAGGCAAGTAATATTTATGAGACTTTGAATATATTTGTGTTTATGCTTTGTGTACCTTTTCAATATTAGCGTAGTTCTCTCTTACAGGTGCAGTGTTCTTAGACAACTTGGGTGTAAAGATGGGAAAAACTGGAATAGCAAGTAAGTTTCCCTGCCTCACGATGTTCTGTACAAACACTGCTAAATAGACTGCAGAGCTTAAGAACTGTTGCTTCATTTCCACACTGCTGAGGCCAGTCACTGACTGTAAGTAAAGTAGGATTCAGCAGATGCTACCCAGTTATGACCGACTTTCCCTTCAAATGATAGGGAGAGTTATCCGCCCTCCAGTGCGAGATCGTAACAGTAGCTGGTTTTTGTTCCTCTCCGAGGGACATATCAGTGCTGTGAGATGGTGGCAGCAGCCACCACAAGAGGAAAGAAACCATTCTCTTGACTAACCAGGTTTCTGCCTGGAGGAGTGGCAATCCTGCTGTGGTTTCAAGACTTGCTTAAGTCAATCTGAGCCTGCAGTATTTCCAAAGAAGGGAGGGCAGTTGCTCTTTTTGCCTTTGGCAACGTGTTTGTGCGCCTTCCTGCATGCCAGCACTAGCACTCTTGAGGCCACACAACTAGTCAGTCAGGTCCCTTTGATCTGGCTGACTCTGTAAGTGCTCATGCCTACAGTGGAAACTGGTTGAGAATATGTGGCACTGATTGCAGCATATGCTTAGAACAGCTCAGGTGAATCATGGAGTAGAAGACAGTCGGCTGCAGAATAGCCAGTGGTAGGCTGAAACAGTAAAAGGACAGCAGAGCGTGTATGTATTACTGTCAGAATCTCCGGAGAAGTTAAAAGCTGTATTGCACCAGTTACTTTTAAAATTAGAGTGTTTCTCCTTAAAAAGAAAAGTCATCACAGGCCTAATGATTGGGCATGATGTGGAAAAGGAAGGGGGTGGTAGAAGGGAAATAGTAAAATACCAGTAGAAAATCTAATAAAGAGAAGTCAGAATACATAACAATGTAAACTAGTTGTGTTCCTTCTCAAGTGATTTGGAACTTACTGAGCTGACTGCTGCCTTGGATAATTGCTAGTAAAAATGCTGGTCATCTTTGCATCAACTGAAACATCCACAATAAATCAGGGAAATAATGTGAGGGGGCGTGGCTTAATGTACTGACTCTGGGCACCAGGGGGTCTGAACTTTGGTGTTGTTCCCCAAGGCATTTACCTCTGCTGACTTGCAGCACGTGATTAAAGGTTTGCATTAGAAATCTGCAGATGTTTTTTTGAGATCGTATAGTGTAGAGGTCAGCTGCTAACTTTATGCTTGACAGCGTTCTTCAGACAGTACGAGGGTGTTCATGAAAGGCTGTTGAAAACACAGGGCAATGGAAACTTGGGAGTGATGCATAACCTGTTGGTTCCAAATTACAGATTTATCCTGTGTCAGTGTGGCATGCATCCCAACCAGTGTAATAGTCTTCATGTGCAGAGTGAATTTTTTTCTTCTGTTTTCTATTATTTCACAAAAAAGTAAATGTATACATTGAGCAAAGACATTGTTTTTAATCTCCTGGATGTCAGTGTGATACTTGCTGAAATCTGTTGTTGCTTCTGTGTTAGTTAAAAATCAACAGTGGCCACTGAAAGCCATTCTGAATGTAGTTTATGGTCTCGTACTGAAAGAGTGAATATTCTCAAGTATGCTCCACTGGTATTCAAGCTGTGAGCTGCCAGTGAATGGTTCTGTAGTCAGCCATCTAATCTGTCTTCGTGGCTTTTTCTCGTATATGGTCTACATCATTTTTGCTGCAGTTTCGGCTGATTCATCTTGTCATCCTTCTCTCTCCCCAAACTGAGCATGCCCTTCTGTGTAATGAGATTATCATGTCTTCCCTTGCTTTGCTTTTCTACACGAGACCTCATTTTCTTCTTGTTTTCCTTTTATTTTTATTGTTTTTCCTGAGCAATTTCAAGGTGATTACCTTCACGGTGCCCAGTACTGGACGCAGTTCTCTAGCTGAGGTCTTGCTGGTGCTGAGTACAGCAGAAAAAGTACCCTGTCCTACATGTGATGATACTACTATACCCAAATTGCAATTTGCTACTTTCTGATGGCATCCTTACTTGTGTTCGTAAAGTCTGTTGGTTCATAATGCTCAGCTGTGCTTCTGCAGTAGTTCTGCCTTGCCTGCTCTTCTCCACTGTGCGTTTGTGCATTTGGTTTGTAAAATTATGTGACTGTTCTTAATGCTTCTGTTTTCAGCCAAGCAACAGACATAATGGAAACAGCAGGCTGGAAGTCCATGATCCACTCCCACCCTCACTTAGTAGCAGAGGCCTTTCGCGCACTAGCATCTGCACAGTGTCCACAGTTTGGCATTCCACGCAAACGGCTAAAACAGTCATGAAATCTTCCATGAACTTGAGAAAAATTGAATTGACTCTGCTCCTCCATGTCCAGAGGTGTTTTCACAAACCATAACAAGAGTTTTTGTTATCCTTGTCCACAGAACAGAAGCTGAAAAAGCCTATTGTTTGCTTTTCAGATGGATAATTTATGGTTTAATCCTCAGCTTTAAATTAGACTGATTACTCTAGTTCACTGAAAGGCCTTAAATTATCTTCAATGACTCTCTAGTCCATATAGTGTAATGTATCTTGATTTTTTTATTATTATTTTTTAATGTGCCTTGTCTTTTTGACTAGGCTCTGCAGGATTGCACTAGCTCCATAATGCAGTAAAGTTGATAACTGAAGATTAATTTTTGAAAGGGATCTTCCATTATTTTCAGAAGAAAAAAAAGATTATAGTTTGGTCCTGTGCTAACTGGAAGGTTTTAACTGGCCTCTCATTAGAAGCGCTTGAAACTGAGGCATGTGATGTACCTTAGACAAGTGCTAAACATGGGGAGAGCCTGTTTACCTTCAGCAAATGCCTACAGGCTATTTATGGCAATATACTGCTTTGAACATAATTTATTTTTCATTGTGGGGGCAAATATGCAATGGTTTGGCCCAAAAATGTATTTTCATTACGGTTTGTAAAGCTTATTGTGTGTGTGTCAAAGCTGTCCAAATGGTAGAAAGAAACACAGAATAAACCTCTTGCTTGTGTTTCTTCACGGTCCATCATTAGTTTACATCTAATGCAGAACTGAACGAGAGGTAAAAGCTTCAATGTGAAAACAGAGTAGTATTGTATATGGAGAAAATACATCCCACATGTATGGTTACATAGAAAAGTAAAGGATGCGTAGAATGACCAAATGTAAATTGAAGAAATGGGCCAAATGGATTCTGAATATGCACTTTTAATGTGTAACTTTTGTATGTTGTGTGGTACATATATATTTTGCTTTTGATGAATTAATGAGGTACAGGTAATTGTGGCTTAACTTTTTAGATACATTTTAAGATGCCCACAGCCACATGGGATTTAGTTTTGTTAGAAAAGAAAGGCATGTCTTTTTAAGACTCAATCGAAAGTGGCTATTGCAAGCTTTCATATTTAACAGAATTATTTTTTGCTTATCTGAAAAAGGCATGTGAATGGTAAAATTTTTCAAGGGATTGTTCCCATCTTGACGTGCGTGCGCAGCTTCCGTTAACACCTAAGGAGGTTATGTACACATCAAGAGGAATCTTTCCCTGAAATGTCAGATGTTATTTGCAAGCAGAGACTTGCTCAGTCTTGCATTTCAGTTATTGTACTAGCATTGTGGATGGTATTGAAATTCTGCGTAATGTGAAAAGGATGAAACGTGTAAACTGCTTGTCATGGGCCAGTTCTTCATTATATGAACCTTAGCTTTAATACCAACATCCTCAGTGTTTGATAGCTTTGTTTACAATTGGGAGGAAAAGTCTGCCGTAGTGCACACTCTAAATGTTTCCTGAGTTATTGCATTAAGTTTACTGTAGTAGTGATAATATGCTATATTTCTGGTTTTTGGGAAGACTGGGGTTTAGCAGTGGGGAACGGGAGGAGATCTCACCTAACTTATAAACGTGTTTGCATAAGGGATTTAGTTTGCCTATTAAAAAAAAATATGCAGGGAGGAGAGGAAGAATTTCAGATTGTTTGCTGTCTTAGAATCTGTCTCCATCCTCACTTCATTAAGATTCATCTGAATTGCTCTGAACAAAATTTTTAGACGAAAGAGTATATAGTTTTATACTTTGGCATCTAGTAAACCACTAGCAGAGGTAGATTGGAAAAAATGCCCAGTCCAATTTTGAAGAATAAAATAACCTCCAAACATGCATTTTCTTCTTACCTTCTGACTAAATCTTTATGATAGATAAAGTGTCAAATCAGAAACTTTAATAGTACATAAGGCATCAAATTATATATTTACAGAGATTTATCCTTTTATCAATTTAAAAATATTTATCTAAAATATGGTCTCATATGCATTCTTCACAATAAGATGTAAAGATAATTGTTCCCTCCAAAATAGTGATGTTTTTGCTGCACTGTGTAATGTGTTAGGACTATATATGCTCATACTCATCACTGGTAAAACTTGCGGCCCTAACATAAAAAGTGACTTGAATATTTAATGCTGTAATGAGTGTCCAATTCAGCTTGTTCTAAAGTAACAACATACAGTAATCTAATGGAAAGCTTAGGGACTTTTGTGAAGACTTTTTTTTTTTTAGAAGCTTAATAGCACACTTTGTACCAAAAAATGTCAGACACTGTGCTGTAATAGTATCTACGTCGTAGAGTGTCCACTTCTCGAGTCGGGCAGTGTATACCATACATTACACTAACAGGAAAAAAGAACCCCATGATAATTGATCGGTTCAGATTTGAGTTTATTTATTGTGTGTATTTTTAAGTTTTGTCAGCTCTTAAGAAAAAGGTAAACCAGTTGCTGTGTTCTTAAGTGAGTGCACTAATTATTCACCTCTTCTTTATTTAACTACATGCAGTGTTCTCACTGGAACAGGATAGCTGGTAATTAGAACCTTCTCCTTCAGCTTCAGGAGCTTCTTGGTTTTATTGGCCACATCTCAAGAGCTTGCCCTTCAAAACCTCAGTTGTCAGTTCTAAGTGCAGCAGATATAAAACTATCTAATAGAATGGACAGTTTTTTTCAGGCTGAAATCTTAGGGGTTTTTCTTAGTTTTATATACAGGTTAAGAATATAACGTATGAAGGTGCCATGTTTTGGCTTGCCAACACTACTCCCTCAGATAGATGTGAACCACCGCTTCCGTACCTTTCTGGGGAGAACCCTGCATGTGTCCTGTGTGTGCGTGCGCGTGTGTGTATGACTGTGCGGTGTTTTTTGTCAGGAATGACTTTCTAAAAATGAGGACTCAATTTGCTGTTAAAATGCTGTTATGTATTATATATTTTTCTCCCCTTTGAACCTCTCCTAAGGAGATGCTTTGGGTGGAAGATGCTTCAGTAAATAATCCTTATTTCCTAGTCCATTTACTGCATGCAGAAGTTATGAACACATTGTGCCTTTTTTTAGGGAACTGTTGTAATGAAGGGAAGATTTAACAGGATACAAGATCTTTGTAAAAGGTGTTTTTAAAGGTGGAGGAGAATGCTCTTTGATACAGGATTGAGGCTGAAAAGTTACAAATTGCCCATTTGAGCTCTGCATGTTGATTCTTGCTTCCACAAAAAGTGGAGTATTACAGGTACAAGTTGAGTAATGGTATATTTTTGTGAAAATGTAAAAAATATTTGCTGTTACAAACTAAGTGTATGTCACAGTGATAAGCATGGACACAAAGTTAGTTTCACAAGTTACTCTGTTTTTCTAAACATGGAGTATTTAGTATAAAATTCACCTTTGCACAGAAGGTTGGTGGAAGACCTACATGGAGATTGTTCCTTTTAAATCCTCATGGAAGGGTTTCTCCCTTGGGAGAATAAAATGTGCAGTATTTGAAACTGTGTTTCATAGAAGACAGTGAATTGCAAATGTGAGGTACTGCTACCTGAAATATTGTTGAATTTTGCAGTTGGTTAAAATTCCTAAGCTTAATCGATTTATTTTTTTGACAAATGGAATGTTAACTGTCCTCTTTGTCTGGTGTTGTTAACGCATTTAGTGCAGAGCTTAGCTCCTTAGCTAGCAAGACACTGACAGTCTCACAACTTGGCTTCTGCTTGCAGTAAATGGACTACGTTTGTAAAGGGAATTCACTATGTCAAGTGTTTTGCAAGGAACTTCACTGTATTTGTAACCTGGTTTTTGAAGGCTTAAGATCAATGAGTCCTATTTCAGAAATGAAACCAGTGAAATGACTTAGGCCTGTTTTGGGGTGGAAGTTATTAAGAGAATTCAGATATATAAACAGTTGTATCAAACCATCCAGCCTTTTTTATCAGCTGATGTTAATGGTGAAATACTTTTTGTACCTTGTTGCTGAAAATATTTTTGTGTTTCAGCACATCAAGTTACAATAAAGTTGTTACTTATACAGAATGTGTCGGTGTGGCTTGTATTTGTTTGGTTTTTTCCCTGTGTATATTCATAGCAGCTACCTTTGCCTCTCTCCTTGTGGAAGGGTATTTTACCAGCACTGTCAATCAGTCTAGTGTAAATATACTGCTGTCCATTTGGAAACATTTTTGGGGAGGATTATTTTGCAGTCTTGCTCTGATCTCCACTAACTTAGTTATTTTTCCATTTTGACACTTGCAAATAATTTGGAGCTCCGAATAGCTTACAACTTGCCTCCCTGAGCAATGACTGCCTTTACGCAGGCTCTGCCAGAACCAATACTCGGTGGGAAGGAAAGTTGATCCTGTGGTAATGAAGATGGGCTTCATGGTTTCTAAGAGGTTTGGCTTCTTTTTCCACCTGCCATCGAAAACTGTCTTTTTTTTTTTCTTTTCCTGTCAAGGAATACAGGCTTATGACTACACAAAACAGGAACCTTGCTTGCATTTGCTACGGGAGAAATGCTATGTAAGAATAACCTGTGGGTAGTTCATTGGGTTTAATATGTCTGAGATATTTGGCAAAGATATGTAGGACTGATTTGCTTGCTTTATGTGTTTGACTTCGGATGCCCTGAACTCCAGAAAATGGTGATATCGAGGTAAGTTCCTTTATAAAGAGTGACGCCGGCCATTTGAACAGACACGATTACCTGCCTCGTGTTATCTAGGCTACGGCGAGGATGTGGCACTGCCAGCCGTGGCAGTTCTTCCTCAGGTGACTGGGGTAACAAATAAGGAATACAGGGCTGCCTTGGGTGTCTCAGCATAACGTGTCGCTGTTTGGTGTGCAGGTATGTGTAAAATCCTCCATGCTTGCTTAAAACGTGCATCCCTTAAGTTACCCCCAGTGATTCACTTGAGGTTCCTCACAGGCAGCTGCAGTAACCTCCAAGGTAAATGTGACCAGTTACCACTGTGAATGGTAATGAGACTCACTTGTGCAAGTCCAGATTTTTGAACTGAGCTTCAATTTTTAGGTAAAGAATATTAAGCTTCACTATTTTTTTTTTAGAAGGCTCTATTTTTATCCTTAGCCTTTCTGAAGTAATTTTTCTTCTGAGATGTTTACCTTGTCATCAGACAAAAGTTTTCTTTGTTATGCGGCTGAACAGATTCAGTTAGCGTTGATTAAAAAAAGCACCTATCTTCCTTCTAAAATAAATTCTAATAGTCTTTTCTGTGGAAAGAAATAAAGCTCTTCCTCCTTTCAGCTGAATGCTTCTGTTAAAAAAAAATTAGGGTCAGTCTATCTAAATCTTGGTTTAACTAAAATATGACTAGTAACTTTTTTCTCTAGCAGCTTTTTGAGAATCCTCATTTGAAGTCCAACGTATGTCCCTCTCTTTCTTTGAGAGGGGAGGGCTCCAGTAATGAATCTCGCTTGGTAAGATGTGCTATTAGTCTAAAACTGGTCCCTGGCTGTACAGCACTGCCAGCCCTGCCGCAGGCTGAAGGCAGAGGTCGATGCCCTGCTTAGTGCCTGGTTAAGCAGTCCCTGTTACTGCCACGAAGAGAAGCATTTCAAAGTGCAGCCTGAGCAGCAGCAGGTGAGCAATGCTGATTAAATTGTTTTTGTGCCACTTCTTCCAACTTTGTAGATGTTACTGACGAATCGTGACAGCTTGCATC